GTAAAGGCTGACTTGAAAAGTTTCTCGTCAGAAACGTTATATGCTAAAGCATGTTCAGAAACAGACTCTAAAAAATTTCGAGGATTTCCAGATCCGTTAAACTTAAGGTTCCACTTAGCTACATTAAAATCGGCAGCACCCGTAGCGAGAGATACTGGTGGAATATACGTCGCCGGAGGTTCAACCGATTCAACTTCGTTAGGTGATATGGCCAAATGCGACTCCAGACGCTGACGTATGTTCTTTAGCTCATCCTTATATTTGGCTTTAACCTTTACGTCAGTTTCTGTTTCCGAATTCACCCTATCCAACCTGTGCACTAAATGACAAAATGTAGCTTTCGATCGAATCAGCAAACTACGTTCACCAGAAGACTCAAACTCGTCGATGCGTTTCCTAAGGTCTTTAATTTTTGACAAAATTGCTGGAAATTCTTTTGCTGGAAGCGTATCGTCATCACCTAAAATTTCCTCTGGTTTAAAATCAGTGATCAAAGATTTCAGCTGTTTACGCAGCTTAGCGACTGTATCCTCCGGTGTTTCGCCCCTAATAGATACTTCGTAAACAAGTTCATCCTTCACTAGCGAGTACACATGTACGGTATTCGTATCCATTTTCAAAACGAGAAAAAAAAAAAAAAAATTTTTGTTAAAAAAAAAATATTTTCAATCTAAGATTATTCTTAAAAGTTTTTAAATCTCCAATAATGTTTCACAAAAAAATTGTTGTCCTAAAAAAATTTTATTTTCAGAAAACTGGTTACCCTATTCCATATTCCAAAATATTAACTAACCGTTAATTTCAAGAGTTAAAAAAAATATATAAAGGTTCTGTCCTACAAAAATTTATAAACTCATGGTCACCCTACTTTATGTATTCTTTTAAAGTTACAAAGAAAATTTTTAGTAATATTGGTGACCAATGTATATACTAGTTAAATCGGTTTTGAGTTATTTTAGTACATTCCTAGAAAGACTATAATGTTTATTTTAATTTGTTCGTTTGCTGCATAACAATATCCAAAAAAAAAAACTTATGCTCAATTACAAAATGCCTATCTGCTAAGTATAGTTAAATTTAATAAAACTATGGTTGGATTAGCAACTAAATATAGATCAAATGTAGATATTAGGTTATAATATAACCAGTAACCACTTTTAAAATTAGAAGACTTACTTAGTGATTAATCTAAATCTAAGACAAAACAAAATTTATGTTGTGAACTAAAATAAAAACAATGGTGTTTGATGCATTAAGGAAAAACTAGTTTTGTTCATAAAATCACAGACAAAATATGTTCACAACTAAATTGTTCATGCTTTAAACAAAATTCTATTTGCTAGATTATGAAGATAAAAAAGTATCTTGACAAAAAAAATCACTTTATAGAAAAACAATTATTCACATTCTATGTTAATAACTAGATTCATTTCAAAAATGTAATAAAATAAACTGTGAAATTAAGTTTTTAAACTTTAAAACTATTACACATTTATTACACTACTATACTATCACCGGACAAAGTTTTAGTCTTTAATACAATCACTGACTGTTTCAAAATTAAAACTATCACAAATTTTAGAAAATTTGGTCAGGTTCGATCAACATAAGTGGGCGCCATTGTAAGGGGTTTATTTTCCTATACAAATATAATTAGTGAGATAATAAACACAGTTTTGTCTCCATGTCAAATTTATTAATTAACCAATTCTTCAGTACAGGCTATTTCAATAGTATTCATAATTCAAGTACCTATACTAATTTATTACATTAATCCTGGACATCATTGGAGATGTAAAAAAAAAAAAAATATAACTAATGACCTAAATTTGAAAGAGGGTCGCTTCCTTGGTTCGTGTTGTTGATCAAATCTAACCAAAGTTCTACGATAATAATAAAAAAAAACAACCTTGGCTCTGGCCGTTGGATGACAGTGTCCTGGAGGGAAACATGAACAAACACAAATATGTCTGAGCGTCTGCCAACCAGTACAAAAATAAAGGACTCGCTTCACTAACCTTGACTTCTCATTAAGGCAGGGAAACAAACTCAACAATTACTTGTAACCTGACCCAACAGCTACGTCTTCTTCACCGGCTTCTCTAAGGTGATCATGGAATCCACCTCGCTGTTATCAGTACATATAAATTTGAAACGTCCTTTTATATATCTACCATCTATAAAATGAAATGTAAAGGTTGGAAATATTATCTTCTTATACTCTGCCACAATGATATTTCCATCCATCATTTTATATATTCATTATGAATATATAATTAAACTGAATCTTTTTGGATTCTATAAATTTTTATAAATTCTAAGGAATTCTATTACTATTAAAGTCTATTAAATTCTACTAAATTCCCATGGCGGAGTGCCAATAAAATAGCATCGGCTATTTTATTTAAAGATGTGAAACAATTATAATCTTCTCCGCCAACCCATCCCGCCGACCATGTTATTAATTTAAATATCAGGATTCATCCAGATATAAATTTCCTGTTCTCTATTTGAAATTTGTAAAAAAAAAACTAAATGATCTATTTCTTTAGATGTGTTCCTTCAAAAAAAAAACTCAACATCATTCTTCGTCCTCTATCCAGCTCTCAATTTAATGGCATTGGAACCTGCCATTTGGCCTATCAATAATCTTTTATTGACACTAATCGATATTTTTGTAACTGCAATATTTTGCAACGTTACACTAGGTACCAGTCCGAAAAATACTACATAGTTGGAACCCTATTGCTATCACTCAGCTGTCTGTCTATTTATCTGTCCGTCCTTCTTTCTGTTCATCTGTCCTATATAATATTCTTTTATTTTCCTTTCAGACACCCGACGACATTAACAATCTAGAAAGAAGTGAGGAAAGAAATAATGGAAATCAGAATAGTCCTCATTTTTCTACTGGAACAGAAGAAGCTTCGCCAAATATACAAGAAGAAAATGAAACTCGTCCAAAAGAAAATAAATCTCAAAATTATAGTAAAAAAAGACAAGCGAGAGATGAGTTGCCGCTAGAAATCAAAGCAGCGCGACGTCAAATGGATGAAGCTTTTGAATTCATGAAAGAGAATAAAGATGATGAATATTACATGTTCGGAAGACTGCTCGTAAGTAAACTAAAAAAAATAAGAAATCCAAACACGCGTGAGATATTAATGAATGATATTCACAATTTAGTCCTTCGTGCATGTATGGCAGATCGACTTGAGCAGCAGTCTGCAGTACCTCAGTTTTCTAAAGCCCTGTCTCCACACCATCAAGCATTCAGCCCATCACCAAATCATCAACCATACCAGTCGCCTCCACCTCACGATGCAGATAGTCTACCTCCAGATCAGTTTTCAGTTCAAACTCACCAAGAGAATTACCTAGAAATACCACTGCCAACTCGTGCCTCACAAATAGTAATTACAGAGTCCGGTGAAATGCAGATAATTAAAGATAAATAAAAATTGTAAATGCCATGTTAATTACTTCAAGAAACAAATAAATAAAAGACAAAATATATAGTATGTTGTTTTATTTTCCAAAGTAATAAAAACAAGACATTCATTTATTTGAATACGCAAAGGGGTACTTCTTCTTGCTCCCCCTTACTCTGCCCCTGAGGGGAGCACCTATTTTGTGTTGTCGACACTTACAAATTATTATTCGTGGTCATGAAATGTTCTGCGAATTTATTCCTTATCTGGATTGCTGTTAAAGATGAACGTCGCGCAATATTCTTCATTGGCTTGAAAGCGCCTTCGCCTTCTCCAATATCTTTTCTCCAAGTTCCAGGATTTGTTATTCCTCCGTTGACGACTGTGTCAGTGTAGCCCGATGGGTTATAAATTGACCGTGAGTTTGAACTTTTTCTTGTAATAAAGCACATGTCATTACAACTCTTGAAGCTTCGCTTAGTTGTAGAGCTATAGGTTTTCTAAGTACTCGAAATCGTGCAGACATAACACCAAATGCGTTTTCCACAATAATACGAACAGAAGAAAGTTTACGATTGAAATTTCGTTGCATGCTTCCTTGAGGGTGGTCTCCGAGAAAAGGTTTTATTATGTTTGGGTGTAATGGAAATGCATTGTCAGCAACAAAAACGTAAAGCATATTCACATCACCATCAGAAAGTGGTTCAGGTTGCGGTATGTTTAAAGAATTTGTCTGAAGTTTTTCGAATAAAACACAATCTCTGAATATACCACCATCACTGAATCTATCCTTACTGCCTAAATCGCAGAACATGAAACAAAAATTGCGATCCACTAAGGCCATCAACACAATACTAAACGAATGCTTATAATTAAAATTGTCAGACCCACTGTGAATCGGTGACACCAAGACAACATGTTTACCATCGATTGCTCCCAAGCAATGAGGAAATGTATCCCTAAAATCAGATTCCTTTTGTAGCCATTCGTTTTCATTCTCAGGTAACTTGATCATATCTTTCAATACAGATATGAGAGCAGTGCAACATTCCCTTACAATATTGGAAATAACTTGGTGAGACATATTGAACAAATAATGTAAGCTTCTATAGCTATCTCCTGTAGCTAGATATTGTAAAGTAACTGCTAGTCGAGTTTTGGCAGGTATGGGTACACGAAATCTAGTTTTTTGTTTTTCTATCAAAGGCCCAACTTTGCTTAAAATTAATTCGAAATCAGATGCTGACATTCGAACGAATCCCTCAAACTGGTTGCTTGGTTCAGCTAGTAGGTCGGAGAATATTTCTTCCATAGTGTTCCGGCAAAATATAAAAAAAACTTGAATATTATGAATGCTTGACATAAATATGTTTGCTGTCCATGGACCATGGTACTGATATTAACATAAAAATAACATAACAGCATAAAATAGACAGTTTAACGTGGTAATACTAGTCATTCTAATATTTGAAACATTAAGCTAATAGACATAGAAAGACTTACAGTATACGATTCCTGTGCATTTGTATCATCCACCATCTTTTTTTTCTTTGTTTTCTTTTTTTTTTTCATTCGATAATGATTCAATAAATTCAAACAATAAAAATTTACACTCATAAAATACAGAGCTCGGTCAACGTCCATCTTTGCAGTCCGTTAAGTAAATTTTATGCCGTTTTATCGCCAAACGCCTAATCACATTGGCCGTATTAAGTGTAGCCACCTACTTTAGCGCGTTAAATATTATCGCGATAATTACCGCGATAATGGGCATTGACGTTGGCCGCTAATGTGGCCCCAGCATAAGAGGTATACAAAAAAATGGTGGCCGTGTTGTAAGCAGCGTGCGTCCCCTCTCGTGTCGGCTCGCACACCTAACTGTTTACTTATTTTTTACCTTTTCTGATTAATACAGAACATTTATAAGCGATTAATATACCTTGGCATGAAGACTGAAGTTCATGGTCATGTATATTTATTATTTATTTGTATTAAGACTTCTTTCCTGAAAATTTGGGCGAAAAGTTTTCATGTTATACACAAAAGGTGTTTTTTTTTGTCGACCAGTGTAATTTTTATAGTCGCTAATATACGTACAAGTAAGGAAGTAAGTAAGTTTTTAAGTAAGGAGAGCTAAGTACAGGCTATTGTAAAGTTCCCGAAACCCGAGACAGTCGATCAACTACGCCGTTTTCTCGGTATGTTAAATTTTTATCGTGCACACATTCCAAACGCTGTTCAATATCAATTCGAATTGAATAAATATTTGCACAATACAAAGAAACGCGATAAAACTTTGATTGTGTGGACTGATAAGGTGTTGTTCGCATTTTAAAAATACCTAGGTACTTCATTAGCTGACTGAAAAGATCACTCTCAAATTGTCTACCCTGGTCGCTAGTAAGCTTCGAAGGGCTTCCAAATCGAGATATCCAGCCTTCAAATACTACCTTGGCTACTGTTTCAGCTGTAATATTGTGAACTGGAAAAGCTTCCGGCCATCCGGTACAACGATCTATCATTGTTACGCAGTATCTATGTCCATCTGCCGATGTAGGCAACGGGCCTACAATATCTATATGAACATGTTGGAAACGGTCTGCACGCTCAAACTCTCCTAATCCTGCTATTGTATGCCTATTAATTTTTGATCTCTGGCAACTAAAACAGGTTCTAGTCCAACTCGCTATATCCTTAAGCATATTAGGCCAAAAGAAACGTTGTTTAATTAAAGTTCTGGTAGTCTTAACACCGGGGTGACTTAAATCGTGAACCGAATGAAAAGCAATTTCCCTGAATTTATCTGGTAAATATGGTCTAATTCTGTTAGATGAAATTTCGCAATAAATATATTTTTCGCAGTCTGGCAATAATATTTGTTTAAATTGTAATTTACTATCTGTTGCTTGCAACGCTTGCTGTAGGTATTCGTCACTAAGTTGTTGCTCAGCTATTTCTCTGAAATCGAGTAATGTGGGACAACTGATCGTTTCTATCCGCGAAAGTGTATCTGCGACTACATTTTGCTCACCGCTGATATGACGAATATCGGTGGTAAACTCGCTAATGTAAGATAATTGACGAATTCTTCTAGGGCTTTCTTTGTCGTTATTTAATTTTGAAAATGCAAAAACGAGAGGCTTATGGTCAGTATAAATAGTCAGTACACGGCCTTCCACTAAATTTTTAAAATATTTGATAGCCATAAATACTGCTAACAATTCCCTATCATAAGTAGAATATTTCATTTCAGCTTGTGAAAGTTTTTTTGAAAAATACCCTAATGGTTGCCAATTGTTGTTATTTTTCTGTTGTAATACAGCACCTACACTAGTATCCGAGGCATCGGTCATCAGCGCTAAATTAGCATCTGGTAAAGGATAAGACAGTGTAGCGGCGCTTTGCAAGCTTTCCTTACACTTCTTAAATGCTTCGTCAGCCTTATCAGTCCACACAATCAAAGTCGTTTTTGTTTTAAATACCACGACAACGTGATGTTTAATTCCAATATGGAGGACAGACGTCCAATTCATTTAAATAAGCAAGGTCAATCCGGTGGTAACCGCCGTGGACTGCGCGATGCCCAAAGGGCTTATGAGAGGAGAAATAATATGGAAGAACTTCGAGACTGGTCTTATCAGCCTCAAGAATTCGATCCCTCTCGAATTAAAACTAGAAAACCAACTAATAGATCAGATAACTTCAGGAAAAAGATTGAAGCGCAACGTGACGAGAAGCATAATCCCCCGTCTTTACGTCCTTCAACTAAAGAGACGCCACCACGCGACGAGCCACTCTATGATATTGGTCCTCATAGTACGCTAATACCGCTACAGGATGTGCACGTCCAAAATTTTGAGTTTAGTGGTTTCATTCCTTTGATAGAAGAAACTTATGAGAAGATGAGAGGCATAGATCCTCGCCTTAATCAACGTCTACCACTAAGCTTATTTACTCATGTTTGTTGCAACCATTTAAATTTACAAGTTGCAGAGGTAGCACGCCAAAATGGTCAAAATATCTTTGGAGTACTCACAGATTTGAGAGAGGTGCTCCCAGATTACCAGTGTGTACCAAAATCAATAACTGACTATATTTCACATGTCAGTAATTCACTTACTGTACGGTCCAATGACCTACATTTTAATTGTATTAGAGTCATCATTTTATTTCATTTCGACATTCGTTAGGTATGTAAAGTCAGTCCACATCCAACTCGCGACTCATCAATTAGTATTTACAATTAATTACACAATAAAAGTTATTTTTAACATTTCAAGATTTATCATTCAACTTCTTATAATTTTGGTGTGTGGTCACTCAACCCATACATCAATTGGTCCTTCGAGCCTCCGAAGGCAGGACCTTTACTCGCGTGTGTGTAAAAAGTTTGCGTGTTCACCCCAATTGGATTGTCACGGCAAGCCTGCCACGTAAGTCGAACAGCCTTCGGTGAGTCAGTTCATCTTCTATCCGTTCTTCTATCAATATCATTATGGAAGATCTTGTAACAAAACAAACTCAGATCGCGGGGACGATGGAATCGTTACTTACGAATTTTAAGAAAGACGGTGCTGATCGCAAAACCCCCGCTCATATCAAAAAACGTCTGAGCAACCTCGAACTACATTGGCAAGAGTTTCAGGTAAATCATATTAAGTTATGCGAATATGAAAATCGGTCACACGAGTATTTCGTGAATGATTATTATCAGCATACGGCTGATTTTTACAGAGAAACTCGTGCATTCATGCAGAAATATCTATCCGTGGAAGATAAAGAAGAGAAGTTCCAATTACGACCAGCTACTCCTTTAATTGGACAATCACAGCAACACTCTTCGCCACAGGTAGCACTTCCAACTCAGCAAACACAAGGGACAAACAGCAAATTAGACGAAATGCTGAGAAAACAGAAAAGTAATTTTAAAGCATTTTCCTGCACTATCAAAACTATTGATTTAGATTCGCTTTCCAAGAAATGGGAGTTCGAAGATGCACTTAAATCATTACAAAATAGGTGGCATGTTATCGATACTCTTCACTGGGAAATTGATAGTGAGCAGCATGAGGAGAATACTGAGTACGAGCGTGCATTTTCTTACTACGAAGATAAGTACAATGAGATAAAAAAGGCTATAAACAGCAACATGTGGTCACAATCTCATAGAGAAAAGGTAACCCCACAGATGGACATTCCATCATTCAGCGGGAACTACCACCAGTGGGAATCTTTCAAAGACCTTTTTGTGGAATCCATTCACAATAATAAATCATTGTCTGCTGCCCAAAAGTTGCAATTTCTAAAAAGCAAGCTCAAAGGGGAAGCTGAGAAACTGATTCAGCATCTCAATATTAGCTCCGACAACTACCAGATAAGTTGGGATATACTAAGCCATCGGTATAGTAATAAAAAGCTTATTTTCAACTCTAATATTAGTATTTTGATGGGCCTTCCCGTAATGCAGCATCAATCAGCAGCATCCATTAAGAAAATACACGACACCGCAAATGAATGCCTCAACGCAATCAAGGCCTTACGTGTAGATATCAGCACATGGGATCCGCTGGTAGTCTATATATTATCTAATAAGTTAGATGCAGAAACATATAATGATTACATCGTTTCACTTAAGAATCCGAGAGAACTTCCGTCCTTAAAGTACCTTTTAGATTTTTTAGAAAATACATTTACGTCACTAGAGATGTCAAAGCGCAAACAAGATCCTATTAAACCTACTCCACAACAAGATACAGTTAAACTTGGTCAGAAGAAATCATTTTTCTATAAAGCATTCAGCAGCAATCAAAATAATTCTTCGAGTAAAGATGATCATCACTCATACAAAACGTGGTCTGTTCCATCCGGTCAATGCCCCGTATGCAAATTGGAGCATGGTATTTTCAATTGTAAGACATTTTTCGATATGCAGCCGCAAACGAAACTGAAAACTATTGAAAAAATAATGCTATGCAAAAACTGCTTCAAGAAACACGATAATAAGGACTGTAATGGCAGCAAATGTCGCGTATGCAAAGGCAGTCATAATACATTGCTACACGATGCTTTCGTTAACAACCAATATGCAAGTTACATACCTACGAAAAGCGCACGAATTAATCAGCCGACTCAACAATCCAATAATATCCATGTTTCGCAAGGCGACACGAATGAAATTTTGCTCGCCACTGCTCAGGTCAAAGTGCAAAGGGCGGATGGCAACTCTGAAATCTTGCGCGCCCTCATCGATCAAGGATCTCAAACATCCTTAATTACAGAGAATGCCGCTCAAATGTTAGGTTTGAAACGCAATAGATGTAAGGGAGTAATATTTGGAGTGGGTGCGAAGGAAAACACATGTAAAGGTGTTATAAACATTACGTTGTCATGCACGCATAGTGACTACTCAATCAACACAGACGTTTTTATTATGAAAAATTTAATAAAAAATCTTCCAAACAAATCATTTTCTAATCCATCATGGAATCATGTTGAAAATATTCAATTAGCCGATCCCGAATTCTACCGAAGCCGCCCTGTAGACCTTTTACTAGGAGCCGACATTTACTCATCCATTATTATGGGGGGCATTATAAAACAAGACGAGTCGTTACCTATTGCACAACAGACACGATTCGGCTGGATTTTGTGTGGAAATGCAAACACACAAAAATCATATCATTGCAATATTGTCATGGTAAACGAAGAAGATTTTTCACGCTTCTGGTCAATTGAAGACATTCCGGATAGTGACGTCATGTCCCAGGAAGATGAATACTGTATGCAGTTATACAAAAACACCACAGAACGCAGATCCGACGGAAGATATATAGTAAGACTCCCTTTACATCCAAACATTGATGAAAAATTGGGTCAGTCTAAACATAAAGCGATAGCTCAATTTTATCAAATAGAAAAGAAATTTAAAAGACAAGAAAGCATCGCAATGCAATATAAACAGTTTATTGCAGAGTATGAAAATTTAGGTCATATGCACTCGGCAACACCGAGTATTCACGAACTAAGTTATTATTTACCACATCACTGCATTCAACGCGCTGACTCGACAACCACTTCACTTCGAGTCGTTTTTAATGCGTCAGAAAAATCAAATACGGGTCTGAGCTTAAATGATCTTATGTACCGAGGACCTAATTTGCAACGAGATCTGCTATCCTTAGTTCTGAAGTGGAGACAATATCCATTCGCATTTATAGCCGATATCGAGAAAATGTTCCGTCAAATTATCATTCATGCTCAGGATCTGCGGTATCAGCAAATAGTATGGCGATATTCCACAGATGAAACGGTACGCGATTATCAGCTAGCGACGGTCACATATGGAACCAAGGCAGCTCCATTCTTGGCAATGATGACACTTAGACAGCTCGCTAGTGATGAGAGTCACAAGTACCCGGAAGCATCAAAGGCACTCCAAGCACAGTTTTATATGGATGACTATTTAGGAGGTAGTTTCAGCATAGAATCCGGGAAACAATTGCAGTCAGATTTAATAAATTTATTGAAGTCAGGAGGCTTCAACTTAAGAAAATGGCTTTCTAACGAACCAAAACTGTGTCAACACATTAATGACACAGAAACATTCGACTTCCGGTATGAACAATCTACAAAGGCATTAGGGTTAGCTTGGGATTCGAAACATGATACTTTTACTTTCCAATGCAAAATGAGTAAAAGTCCAGAGATCAGACCCACAAAGCGAATCCTATTGTCAGAAATTTCCAAAATATTTGATCCCCTTGGCTGGTTATCGCCCGTAGTTATTCAACACAAACTTCTTTTTCAAAGGATTTGGGCTGCTGAACTTCATTGGGATGAACCAGTACCAGACCAAATATATCAAGAGTGGATAAAACTGAGGTCAGACGTCGAAAATATAATTGACATCAAAATACCGCGATGGATTGGCTGCAGCGAAAATGACGTCATAGAGTTGCATGGATTTTGCGATGCGTCTACGAAAGCTTACGCAGCCGTAATTTATACAAGAATCCAGAAACAAAACAAACCGTCGGTTACGCTATTAACAGCCAAAACCAAAGTTGTGCCCGTAGCTCAAAACGCTAGCCAAGTCTCATTGCCTCGATTGGAGCTGTGTGGAGCACTCTTACTATCCAATTTAATGCTAAATGTCATACAAAGTCTTAATAATCATAAAATTGAACTCTACGGGTGGTGTGACTCAACTGCTGTGTTAGGGTGGTTGCATGGTGAAGCCAGCCGCTGGAAGCCATTTGTTGCTAACAGAGTAGCTAAGATTCAACAAATAATGACAGCGAAGTCTTGGCACTATATAAACACAAAAGAAAACCCAGCTGATTGCGCCAGTCGTGGTCTTACCGCCAAACAACTTTTGCAGCACCCTCTCTGGTGGAAAGGGCCCACCTGGTTACTAACTTATAACCAAAACGCTGAAACTAAAAAGGAAACATTTAACACAGATTTAGAAATTAAGAAAATGAAACAAATAAATGTTACGCAAATAAACGAAACAGAATATAATATCATTCAACGGTTAATTGACAAGCACAGCAATTTGACCCGTGCGTCACGAGTACTAGCATGGATACTACGTGTGACGTCACATAATAATAATAAACAAGCTTACTTATCTTCCGACGAGTTACGTAAGGCGAAATTAAAAATAGTTAGTTATGTTCAGACTCGAGAATTTTTTGATGACATCTGCAATATTGAAAATCAAGGTTCCTGTAAGCCAAAAAGTAAACTACTGAATCTTAATCCGTTCTTAGATTCAAACGGACTTCTAAGAGTCAGAGGTCGGCTGTCAAATTGTCAACTCAGTGACGACATGAAATACCCTTTGATTATACCGCACAAAAGCCGCTTAACAGATCTAATTATTGATGAAGCTCATAGACAAACATATCATGGAGGAGCCCGTCTTACCCTATCTTGGATTAGAAAACATTATTGGATTATGGGCGGTAACAGAGCAGTAAAAAAATACTTACACCAGTGCGTCACCTGCAAGAGACAGAATCCGGTCAAACAAAATCAAATGATGGGTGACCTACCAGAAGCAAGGATAACCCCTACAAGACCATTCTATCACACAGGCGTTGACTTCACTGGCTTTGTAGACGTCAAGGCCAATAAAGGACGAGGAATCAAGACGACAAAGGGATACGTAGCAGTGTTCGTGTGTATGGTCACAAAGGCTGTACACTTAGAGCTCGTGTCAGATCTGTCATCATCAGCCTTTTTGGCATGTCTACGAAGAATGGCTGCGCGAAGAGGCACACCCGGTCACCTCTATAGTGACAACGGGACAAACTTCGTAGGAGCCAATAAAACACTACAAAAAGAATTTTTCAACATACAATCTATATTATCTGAAGAGTTTTATAACGAGATCGGCGAAATGCAAATCAAGTGGCACTTCAACGCTCCGTCATGGCCTAGCGCTGGTGGATTGTGGGAAGCAGCAGTCAAAAGCTTAAAGCACCATATGCGTCGAGTCATCGGAGAACAGAAACTCACATTCGAAGAGTTCACAACCTTATTATCACAACTAGAAAGCTGTCTAAACTCAAGGCCCTTGAGCGCAATAAGTGAAGACCCTGATGACATCGATTACTTGACGCCCGCTCACTTCTTATCCAGCGGCCCCATTCTGACTATCATCGAAACTGAACGAGACGAAAGAACAAGGTGGCAGTTAGTTCAAAAAATATTTGGGGATGTTTGGAAAAGATGGCACACTGAATATTTAACTCAACTGTCAGTAAGAAGTAAGTGGCAAGAAAGTAAAGCTAACATACACATCAACGATATAGTCGTCATCCACGAAACAAACCTACCAGCTGGAAAGTGGGCCCTAGGCCGGGTGGTTGACATCCATCCCGGAAAGGACGGCTTAATCCGTGTAGTAAGTGTAAAAACAAAAAGCGGTATTATTAAAAGACCAATAGTCAAATTATCAATTTTACCCGTTAATAACTCTACTACTTATGAGACAACAATCAAAACAGACATATGCAATAACGAAGAAAAGCAAAACAAGCAGATTAAAAAACATTCAGCGCAAACATCGTGTATAAACGTAGTAAATATAATTTTCATGTCATTAATGCTATTCATGACGTCATCAGTGCATGCCACATATAACATAACGTCATTACCATCTAATAATAGTATTTATTTCGATAAAATGACAGACATGAGATTAATTCAAGACAATTGGAAACTCGTAGTTTATTACAACATGCAATCATATTGGGATGGCATCAGATTATTAGGTAATTATATGAAACATTTAGAAACACAATGCCAATTAATGGAAGTCAAATCACACTGTGACGTAATTCTACTACAGCTACGTCATGAGTTCTCAGAATTAGAATACTACAATTATATGTTGCCTACCCAGCAATTTGATAAACGTAAGCGTTATCGTCGGGGGCTCGTCAATGGTGTCGGTTATGTCGCGAACAGCTTATTCGGCATTCTAGACGAGCGCTTTGCGGAGCAGTATCAAAAGGACATTTCAATATTAAAAAACGATCAAAGACATCTAACTAATCTGTGGAAAAATCAAACATCGATTATTGAAGCAGAAAACAACATGCTCAAGAGACTTGAAAATGTCATGGAAAAACAACACAAAGTATTTATTCAACACATAAATAATTTGGAATCTTTATCAAATAAAATTAAGAAAGAAGTTACACAAGTAGAAATCAGCAATGAATTTATGTTCTCCAGCTTAATTGCCAATAATATATTTAAAAATTTGAAAAGGATTCAGGATACGTTTATTGACACCATCACAGACCTACATACATATCTTCAACATTCATGCCTTGACCCCAGAGCAACTTCGTGAGCAACTGAGTATAATATCTGGGCAGTTGTCAAAGGAGCTAGCCATTCCTATTGATAACATACACACCGATTTACCTAAAATCTACAAAATACTTAGAGTAAGAGCTCGTGTCACTCAAGAATATTTTATTTTTGAAATACACGTCCCATTAGTAAATCGGGACAGCTATGAGATATACAAAACTTTCCCTGTGCCATATCAAACAGGAAAATT